CTACCGACACTTTTGAGGTATTTTTTACTTTGCACACTATTGATTCAGTTGGGTCTGAACTATTCGTTTACTGAAATTTTTTGAGTTCCAAAAAGCGGTATGTGAAGGGTTTTAACGAAAAATCGGTAAGGCCATGTGTTGTTGTGGGTTCGTTTGTACTATGGTGAAAACTTTATTCTTACCTTGAGACAAAACTAATCGAGAACAAGCACTTTTAAGACTGTCAACCTATGTCGTAGAGCACTGACATAATTACGTTTGGTACATGCATACGTCTCTACAACATCGATAGCTTCACACCCCTGTTTTTCTGGAAATTTGTAAGGTTTGCTTTGCCTAAGCATGAAAAGACTTCTGTTTTTTTGATCGGTTGATAATGAGAAAAAGCCCTTCCAACTATTCCTTAGAAGTCTAAGTCTGAGATGCTATAAAATATATGAGTTTTGTGAAATGCGCGAAATGGAATAAGACATAGGATTTGAGTTAAAATTCGAGCTTTTCGATGCGTTTGGTAGCTGGGGATTAAGATAAAAATTGTGATTTGTATATATCGCCATGCTGTTTGTTCGGGTGATCAGAACAGCAATTCTTTTCTCACGATAGATGAATTTGGCTGGGCTTTAACTGTTTCGAGATTTTTTTGACCAGTGTTATTCGTTATCATTTGGTATCAAACGTTGCTGTTCCTAAAATATGATGGGCTACTTTTCCAGCTAAAAAATTCTATGCGCATTTACAATGATTCATGCTTATTTGATTATGATTTTTAAGGGTCCACGAAGCAGATGCTACGCTGTCGCCTTATCAGACAATCCTATTAAATGATGAAACGCATACCTATGATTCGGTAGGTTTGTTTGCTCCTCTTCCTGAAATTAACCCATTGATGCTCATTTGCAGTAATGTACGAATATTGAAAAGCTGTTTTTTTTTTTGCAGGTAATTCGAGCCCTGAATCTTTCAGTTCACTGCACTGATGTGCAAGCAATGGTGCTTGCAACGTTGATCGATCGCGAAGGACGAGCCTCGGTGCGCAATGGTACCTACGACTACTGTGCACGGGCAAAAGATGAAATTCAGGTAAAATTTTGCAGATTCAACGGGCTCATATGCAGCAGCAGCACTGACATTGTTTTTTTAGAGGATTATTTTGAAAACTGTTGTTAGAAAAATAGGCTCTGGGTGTTTCTTGAAGAGTTCCCCGTCCTAGTTGGTGTTAATGAACTTAAATTCGTCCCCCTGGCAGGCGCGGTACTCGCGCACGGGTGCCCCAAATTTTTTTTGGCATAGGTTAAAAACTCGGTAATCTTAGAAGCAATTGTTTGCTATTATAACTTTCTATTGCTGTTGATAGCATCGGCTTTTTAATTCTCTTTTAATTTTTAATTCTTTCGATCCATCGGTCATCTTTTGACGAAATTGTTATCAATAATTTAGATACGCTACTTTTTCGCATACGGGCATGTTCTTGAAAGTTTCCATAAGTAATTCATGATATTTGAAGAATCGAGGATTTATTGAGTGTGTACTAGTAAGTATGCTGTTCTTAAAACAAGAGGGATTTCTAAAGACCACAAATTTATCAAATTTCGTTTCGATTAAATAAATTTGAGGCAGGGATGCGCAGGAAATTTAGATCCTTTTCAGTGGAGAATTTGGGATTGAAGAAATCATACAAAACCAACTTATTTTGGAAGAAAGATTTGATAAAACCTAACCAGTATTACAATATTTTACTGATGAATTTCAGAAGCGTACTCAAAGGGACACAAACCACAGAACCGAGAGAGGTGGTCCACTGAACGTACGGGTCATGGATAGTCGACTGGTCTCACTGCAGAATTTTGCGATGCGTCTCGTCACATGGCTAACCAATCAAACAAAACGTTTTCGTATGCATAGTTTTTGCATTAGCAAAACATTATGATTAATTATCATAATTCGATCATATGTCTGTCTACACTGTGGGCCAACAGCGCCAAACAAACTGCACATATTAACACATAGAAGATTTCAGGACCCCGTCCTCTTCTAGTCTCCTAGCCAGGGATATTCATTGTTTGTATCTTTAAAATTTCTGAAACACTTTATGATGTCACAGCCTTGAAACAGCACAATTATTAGAAAAGAGTCATGCACGGGCACACACTTATTCCATACGTAATCACAACATACACATATATTCATGTAAAATCGTGCACAGACACACACACACACACACACGCATACACACACAACAGACAAGCATAATTATATTAGTGAACACTCATGTCCGCATGTGTAACCATGAACAGATAAATGCACATATATCTTTATACAGAAATACATACAAACACGCATTTATTTATAGAAATGTATTCAAATCCGCGCAGAAATTATTCAAGCCCTATCATATAGGTACACAGTGTCACACATTAAGCAACCAGCCTTCTTTATCTCGTAACAAATCGTTTTCGAAAAAAAAATTAGCGCTTGAAAACGAGATTTTTGAGAATGCAAAAACTGGGAAACTTCATTTAAAGATAAGGAATTAGTATCGAACGAGTCTTTTTTTTTTTGCATTTCAACGCTCATACTTCATTTTTACATGATTTCGCCCTATTGCAGCACCACTGGCGCTAACAATTGGTGATATTTTATTAACCGATAAAATAGACCATGAGGATGGTTATATGGAAGACGATACGCTAATGGCACATATCATGAAATGCGACAGTGCCCTTTGGAAAGGTTTCTTTCTTTCCTGCTCCTTTAATCAACGATCGGTCGTCCCAGTGCTGATCCGTGATTTTTGTCTCCTTTCGTTCATCTGGAAATCGATACTCGATATTCTACTTCTTCCCTGGCGTATTTGTGTAGTATTTTTTAATTATCTAACAGCATTTTTACATGAAATCGATTCATTTTAAAAAATTTGGGTTATGCTTTATAACTGGACTGAGCTGCTCCGGGATGTTTTTAGGTGCTCGAGTGACTTTCCATCAAATGATCATGACCACAGTGTTGATGGACAATTATCAGAAGCAGATTTTTTCAAGGCTGTATGTTCAGGTACATTGGAACTCCAACCAGCCATTCTTTGTTATCTAAGTTTGTGGTGGGCTTGAAATCCAAGGGGGTTTTTTTTGACAATGTTTGGTGCTTTCAGTTGTACAAAAAATTATTCCGGGACTTTATTGATGATGATCATGATCATTCTGTGTCGATTACCGCATTAACTGTACAGGTTGGTTCTTGATTTTAATGATGCATTTTGAGAAAAAATAAGGATTTTTACTGTCGTTCAAACAGACTTCATGTCTTAAAGGGTTTTGCATTTTTTCTTTAATTGTCTGTCTAGGTCCTTTGGGGCAAATGAGTTAGAGTATAGTCTCCACCGATGCAGCGGATAACTTCCTCCATTGCTTTGGTCAATGCTTCTTTGCCTGCTAGCAGTCCCTACATTCATTTTGTTTTTTTTTTTTTTTTTTTTTTAAAGCTCATGATGTTTTGAACGAAAGCATTTCGTGAGACTTTAAAATGGAAAAAGGAAAATTTGAGATGGGGCTGCCGGAGATGTTTAAAAAAGATTCTTGCATTATTCAGCATCGCCATCTCCGAACGTTGCCACTTCTAAAAGACGATGAAGTGCCGTGCCGGTTACGTAGTTGTTGAGTACCATATCAACTAAATGGTGTTTAATCAAAGGATTTTTTTGATTTTTTGGCATTCGTTAAAATTTGATTTTGTTTAAATATAAGTATTTTGGGCGTGATGGTTCGTTGGTCCTTTTAGATATTTACGGTACCAACAATAGCGCGTATACTTATTGCGGAGGAGTGTGCTCTTAAATTCATATGTGATGGATTAACTGAGCACTGTGTGAAGTACATTAGATGTAAGTGCTTTTTATATAACTTTTCGGGCTTCCTACCGTCACGTGGGTGCGCATTTTGCATTTTCATTGCAAATCTAATAATATGATTCGCGAAAAATATATTACGATAGTGGAAAATGATTTTTAAAAAATCAAAGATTTTTTGGAAAACAGTTCGTGAAGAAGCCGGCAGCGCCAATGTCACATGTGTCGATATTAATGATGGATATTAATGTAGGAAGGCTGAAAAAAATAAATTTTGCTTGTAGAATCTGAAAAATGATGTAATATTTTAGCAGTCAACGGGCCAAAATTCGATTTCTCCTCACGCTCATCGCCTCATGCACTTCGACGTTCTCTGTATATGCTGTATGATTTGAAGTAAGTTTTTTATAAGAAATTGCTTTTTTCTTCCTTCAACGACTTTCATTTTTGCCTGATATTCTAAAATGCGCAATTTATGCAGATATTTGCTATCGGTGGTGCCAGCGGAACGTGACTGGACTCCGACTTTGCGTGAAAATTTTTACAATGGCTGCGTTTCTCTCATACAGTTTCTTTCGTATATGCAGGTCATTTTTTATTGTACGAGTAATTTCATCATTTTCGAATCATTGTGCACATGTCTGTTTCACAGATTTATTACTGCAAGTTATTTTCGTTTTTTGATGATAGGACATGGACGAAGTTCGTCGCCTAACGGCACAGCATCAAGTTTGGGAGCTGGAATGGGAAACGGCTTTCAATATTCAAATCAAATTGCAAGATGTCCTCACACTTATCATTGCTTGGGCTAATAGTGATGTACGTTTTTTTTTTTTCTTAAGATAAAATATTTCCCTTTTTTAAGAATATTTTGCAAAAAATTCTACAGTTCTGTTCAGAAGCAGTGACTGTTCTTGTTGCAGAAAATCGCTCACTTTAATTTGCTCGATTATTTAATTCGTGAAATAGAAGCAACTGTGCAATTTCGAACGGAATTTCTTCAGAAAATT